TTTCAAAACAATCTTACCTCTGGAGACTGATCGAAACCCACATTTGTTCATATAAGAACGAAGCAAAAAGCCCAAATCTGTAAGTTGAAATAAATATCAGTGCACACAACGATGGAGAAAGGCGTGTGGTGTTAGTTACAGATGGTAGCAGAAAATAAATGAAATGCAGCACATTGTGTACTCGAAGAGGGCAAATCGAAAGTCAGTCTAATTGCCAATTTGTACACTAATTCAGCCCTAACGACTCAAAACTTTCGACTTGAGCCAGAGCATGCCCTGAATGAAAGAGATTACATCATTGCTGGCGCACTTCTGAAGTCTCCACGGGTTGGCCAGCTCGAATAGTCGCATTGCCACAATCGGGGTGATCAGTGAACCCTGCCATGACAACGTGAACCGGTAACCGCGGAAAATATTGCAATTGGCCGGTTGCCCGGGAAACAGAGGCAATTGAATCGGCTCCGTTTCGGGACGTAGTACAATCTCCTCTTTTGGCATAACATAGAGAATGAGCACCGGCAACTGGTCGGCCGTATTTGCAGGAAAACCGCGTAAAATGGCGGCCAGCTCGGCGTGCAGGTAGCTCAATTGGTCGAGACGATCGCGGGCATCCACAACGTAGATGAGACCGGTGAGCTCACGACTCAACTGCTGCATAGCCTCAGAAACGCGTAGTCCGAGCAAAACCTCAGCCTCAGTGACCTGTGGCGGTTGAGTTGTTCGTTTGAATAGCCGACTCATGCAAATCCGTGAAAACTGATCCTCAAAGTTGTGGTTAAGATGACCGCTCAACGAGTACAAGTGGATAAGATCAAAAAGAAAATCCTCCTCTCTTTGACGTGGAGTCGTTGAGGCGGCAACAGCAGCAGCCGCCACAAGATCGACGGCCTCCTCTACAATGCTGGCCATTTGCTGTGCTTCTGCAGAGAGACGCAGAGTGAGGCCAGATCCAAAACCCAAGTGGCCAGGAAACATGGTGACCGGCTCGAAGGCGTAGTTGTCTGTGCCGACAATCTTACGAAATAGGTGACTAGTGGCGCGTCGGTCGAACCCCGGCCCCAGGACCGCGAGTCGCTGATTACATGAGCCGGCCATCTGCGACAGCGCGGCCGACGACGGTGATGCCAGCCAGTAAAGGGAGCGCATCATCTGTTCCCACCAGTTTAGCACCAGACTGGTCACGCTGGTTTGCAGACTGTTGGTCAGGCTGGCAGCAGTCTCAGCATACTCTTCATCTTCTTCACTTTTCACCTGGCCCTTACGAGTTGCTCGACTCTCAGCCGTCTCTTCGTCCTCGTCGAGCGCCAACATAACCGACCATCGACTTGTCGCTAGGCCCATGTCCTGTTGGTATTCACGATGGCGACAGGGACTGGAGACAAATCGTACCAGAAACACGTAAATGTCACGAGGATGCGCTTCGTTATGGATGCCGGGAAGACAGCCTCGTGGAATGGGCTGATGATCGCAGACTATTGTCGTCCAAAAGAGACAGACTGCGCGCCGTAAACGCTGGCTCCAAACGTGCCTGTCTGAGGAGACATGACGCCAGCGCTCACAGACTGAAGCACAAAGCAACAGCTCTCGAGTGTTCAGATAAGAGAATATAGTGAGCATCAACTCGTTGGGCAGACTGTTGATACCAACTGCATCGGGCTGTAGACGAGGGTCATTTTCCTCCGAAGCGAAGCTGTCAACTCCTTGTTCGCGGGACGCCCTAAGGCGAATACAGGCTTTCATGTTGTTTTTCACCATTCACGAGCCGTCAAGATAATACAACCTGACAGAAAAATCGAAATAAGCCGAAAATAAAAAAACTGCATGTCTGTTTGTCTCGCAAGGCTGTTTTACTTGAAGGTTCGTGTAAAGTGTTTCAACAAGAAACTCTTTACCATAGCTTGCTTGATGCATAATAATGACATTTTTCCCATAATAATATAAGTAAATGTCATGATGCCATCGAATTTCGACTTCAAAAAGGTTTCCCTATCCAGGCTGGATTTCACTTTCGACCTAACCTCACCATCTCATCAGAACCGCCAAGGGGGGCGAAATCCGGTCGTGCGCATCGTGCTGATGCGTAAATCTGCTGAACAAGACGGAGCGATGATTAACTTAATGTCATCGTGAGGTCTACTCATAAAATTGTACATAATTATTTATTGTCATTCATTTAATCACCTCATGGGACCTGAAGTAATTAAGCTAATGTTAGGTTCTTATCGAATAACCATTGAGCATGTCGAGAACTACCATCAGCCGAACAGAGTTTTTCGGAACACAAGTAATGTATAGAGGTTGTTTGACCTTGTTTTAGCAACATGGTCATATTGGTAGTAAGACTTAGAGGAACGCACCTAGTCCGGAGTCCATTGTCTGCATGATC